AAAAAAAAAAAAAAAACCCGCGACGGTGAGTAATGACGTCCATTCAGGTGGACGCTTTTCTGGGCAGCATTGCCAAGTGTTGGGCTACTTTAACACTGTTGCTGGGAATCGTTTTTTTAACCCACGGGTTAAAGCTCCCCCGGGACTTTATTTAAATGGAAGGGAAAACGTGAAAAAACATGATTGGCCTAGGTTTGATTAGCAATTGGGCTGGTTTTGTTTTGCAGGCCTGGCAACCCTAGTTGTTTCGCCAAGTGTTTCACGAGTTCACACTTACATATAATGAACCGAATAAAGGTTATGCGTATTTGGCGTGCTGTCCGGGGAGAGGGCTCCGAGCTCGGTAATTACTCTCGAGCCCGGGGTACTCCCCCTGTCCGGGGAGAGGGGTCCGAGCTCGGGATTAAGCCCGGACCCAGAACGCTCCCCCCGAGTGTTCCTCCCCGTGCTGGGGTAGGAACGGGCTGAAGGTGAGGAGTCGGGGTGGTGGAGGGATGCTAAAGACAGGAGATAATGGAGGTAAGGCTGCTTTGATTATTTATAGAGGTTCTCTCTTGTGCTGATTGGATAGATGGTGTAATTACTGATGATGAACTGGCCGTGTTAATTATCTGCGCGCGCTCCTCCCGAAACTTGTTAATAAAACATCACATAGTGTAATAGCATGTAAGGATGGGGGGAATAAAAAATAAACAAACATCAAGCTAGCATGGACATTCACTGTGCTTTTAATGATTAAGTATTAAAATGACTCAAACAAATGTGGGACATCTTGATTTATTGAACAAGTGCTTCAGAAAAGACAAGATCAAACAAACAATCTTAAGTCCATTACTGATAACTGGTCTGGGAAGAAAGGCATCGATTCAGTGCTTTGACAGTTTGTCTGCATTTTACTCATAGATCCAGTCTTGCGCACAGCTCTTGTAAGCCACCAGCTCCTCAGGCTTGAACCACAAACTGATCTCTTTATTTGCACTGTCCACAGAGTCACTGCCATGGATGATGTTCCTGGGGAAAACAAACAAAAAGGGTCAGTCATCTGGCTATCGCCTTCTCATCTTCATGGTTCATACTGGAGGCCTAATGGCGGTACCAGATAAAAATGGGCACGAGTACTCGGACATGACAGCGACAACCGATCAAGAAAACGATGATTACTCTCGCTTCAAAAAAAAAAAATATATATATAATTCCTCCTTTTTTCCTGATTGGTTAATGTGGCATTTTGGCCGGTACCTGAGGTCTGATTTGTTAGCGTTAGACCAGCCCCGGGAATAAAGTGAAGCAGGATTTGAAAGGCCACAGTGATGCCTGGAATCACTTTATCATGAACACTTCTGTACAGCACCAATCTGTCATATACATAACATTATGAGAACAGGGCTGTCACAGAATGTAGTGAATTCTCTGTGCTTTAGTTGCCCGTTGTTCAGCGCACGGTTAGAGTTACACATCAGACTAGCACGGTCACGTTCATGTGTGCAGATTAATCTAACACCGGTGCGTTTGAGTCGCTGATGTTCTGCTTTTCTTGCGCGTGTAACGGCGCGCTGCTCTGGGAAGAGCACATCCACTCTCTGGATTTGTCACCTAACTTAGTTGAAGTTCACGTGCATTTGCATCCTTTTGTGCAGATAGAAGTTTTAACGTTATGTTTATGTTGTGTATCGGTGTTCATTTTGACAGCAAATTTTGATTTAGTTTTAGTCATATTTTGGTCACCTGAATTGTTTTTAGTTTTAGTCTAGTTTTAGAGATTCTAGAGGCGCTTTCTGTGTGTGTGCGCTTCAGTGTCTGCGCTCAGAAAACCAGACCGAATTGAGTTCTCTTGCGTCATCAGATTTATCTATTTGTCTGCTCTTCTCTTACTCCCACATAGACATTTTTTAATGTTTTATGCGATGTGCAGCAAGTGTATGTTAGCTCATGTCCCGCCGGTTCATATGTACGCATCTAACCTCCGAACCACGCAGCCGATTCGTTCTGAATGAATCTCTTCCCAAATCGTCCCTCCCTAACATTTTAGTCTCGTTTTTATTAGTTGACGAAAATGTCAATAGATTTACATCATAGTTTGTCATTCAAAAAGAGTTTTAGTTAGTCATCGTCGATGGAAAAAAAAAAAAAAAAAAGTCGACACATTATTCGTCAACGAAATTAACACCGTTGTGTATCTAGGATATCGGATTAATCTCATAGGATGTCATAAAACGGGAAACATTCATGGTGCCTAAAACCCAGGGTTGGTGCAAACTAAACTTTACCTGGCTAGCCAACTCAACGGGGTTCATAGGTCCTGGAAAAGCAGCACACGCACACACTCACCTGCCCACTTCAATGCAGAAGTCGCCCCTGATGGTGCCGGGTTTGGAGTCCGCAGGATTGGTCTCTCCCAACATCACCCTTCCCGTCTTCACAACATTCAGACCCTCCCATACCTAATGAGAAAGTGTACTTTAAAAATCAATTGGGCCCGCATGGTAGACAGTTTGCCGTAGCTGATGAAGAGCACTTACCATTGCGGCGACCGGCCCAGAGCTCATGTACTTGACCAGTCCAGGATAGAAAGGCCGGTCCTTCAGGTCAATGTAGTGCTGCTTCAGCAAGTCCTCAGACGCCTGTCATATCACAGCCGTGATCAAACCGTTAGCCATCTGCATCATTTCAGCAGAACGCAACCTCTTAAGCTGCCCCTTAAAAGGCTTGCTTCATTCAGAAGCGCAATCCAGCTGTAAAACAATACCCCTAGCCACCACACTGAACCTAACATTCACTGGCTGAACCTCACAAAGCTTCCCAATCCCTGTGAACACACTGCATCAGATACAGACGAGCAGCAGGTCTACACACTTCAGTCAGGACCATCTGCTCTGCACATGATTTATTCATGTTTCACAAAGACACAAACTAAAGCATGGCACAAAAGCCTTTACATCAAGTCTTTGAATATCTAAGAAATATTTAATTCCATGAACTTTGCAAACACTGGCGACTCCAGCTGTTAAATGCATTAGTGACAGAATGCACTGTTAATTAGTGTTTACAATGTCAGGTTTCTTTAATACTGTTACAGGTATTTAATAATAATAATAATGGCATCTTGAGTATAAATGAATAGAAATTAAGTTTAATTAAGTCAAATTTCTAAATTTTAGTAAATTACATAAAATATACATTTAATTGCAGGAATTGTTATGAATGTTATTTAGCATCTTTAAATCATCAGTAAATAGTTTAAATTAATATACAGATTACATTACACAGAGTTTGGCAGGTTTCTGATGAAATGCACTGAACGTGGAATATGAAGTGATTCAGTGATCTTCATTCCAGATGTGAACCAACCTGAAGAAACTTCATGGCCACGAGTCTGAAGCCCTTCTGTTCGAAGCGCTTGACGATGTCTCCGATCAGGCCTCTCTGGACACCGTCGGGTTTAATGGCAATGAAGGTGCGCTCGGTTTTGGCAGCCATAGTTCTGAGAGACAAGAAAACTTACTTTCATCGTATTGATTAAACATTAGGTGTGCATGAAGCACTTGAAGATGTCTGCAGCACAGATGAGGTTAATAAGGCCCACACTTATGCTGCACTGAGCAACAGCAGGCCGAACGCAGCAGTCATCACGGTTACGCTCTCATATATCACTACACATGAAGCAGACGTCCATCCATACTGGACTGCGCGGATAGAAGGCTTAAAGACAGCCAATACAAAGATTGCGGCTAAACTATTAAAATCTACATACAGAATGTGTTCAATAACGTTCTTAGTCTCTCAGGGATTTAAAAGCCAGATATTGTTTGTGTAAATGGTTTCCCAGACAGCAGACAGTTTCGGCCCACATCTGGCCCGCATGGATTTAACATGGGCCAGACGTGGGCCGGATCTGGGCCAACACTATGTTGCTGTCTGGGTTAGTTTACTTTGAATAATTTATTTATATTTGTGCACACATACCAGACACAGGACAAAACACTGACACATTTGGCTGAATTATAAAAGACAGGGGGAACTAAATAAAAGAGCTGTTTGGGAGCTGAGCCGAGCGGAGCCAAATGATCCGGATCCCTAAAGAGCCGGAGTCCCCATCACTACAGACTGCATAGCAAGCGTCCCCAGATTTCCCGGATGTCTTCCCTGACGTGTCCAGTCGGTCACGTGGCCCTCGATTCCGGATGCCAACCTGCAGGGGGCGCGCGGTCTCGCCCAGTATAGCAGGAGAGCGGTCACTGTATTCACCATAAAACACCAACTTCACATACAAGCCAAGTTCAGGTCCAGATCGAAGCGCGTCAAACGCGTGAGAGCCGGAAGAGCCGCGCGGCAGCCATATATGCGCCACGTGCTTCCGCCGCCGCGTCCGTTTCGACGATTTACCACGATTCTGTCGCGCTGTTGCGATCTAGGCCTGAGGTGTGTGTGTGTGTGTGTGGTCCACAACCGGCGAATACAGCGACAGCGCTAACACGACAAAAGAGAAGTGTTCACTAGTTAAAGCGACGGCTGTTGCACGACCGTATAAGTACAGCAGGAATGTTTGAGGACTGCTTCAAAAGAGAAAGTGCCTACGTTAGTCTGCATACTGCTGGTAAACACGGAACCTGCGTGAACAAGACGGCGCAATACAGACACACACGCATGAATCTGTCTGTCTGTCTGTCTCTCTGTCTCTCTCTCTCTCTCACACACACACACACACTTACAGGTGAGACGGAGTACTGGCGGATCCTGAGGACGGAAGAGAGAAGACGGCGCTCCGCGCGCGGAGCTCATATAAAGGCTGGCCTTTGGGGGCGTGGCTTATGATGAATGCTCAAACATTATATAAATATATCTCAATCACAGCTCGAGTCTCTTGTGCTGTTTAATCACGGTTTCTGAATGAACAGATTAATTCCTGAGTTTCCTAAATAAATAAATGAATGAATAAATGACAGGTTACAGATTGAAAATCACTATTTCAATATAGGCAATATAACGTTAAACTAATGTCAAACAAATGAACTATTTGCCATATTTAGGCATATTTACCGTTCCTAAAACTAAGGTGTAAGTTGAGGATTTATTTAATACAAAGACAAGGAAATTACAGAGAATTTTGCAAAAAAAATACAAAAAACTTTTTATTGCAAATGGAAAAAAATGCATTTGAATAAACAGTTCTTATATGTTGATGTGAACAACCAAAAGGCAAAAGCAGAGGCCCGTTTCAGAAAGGAGGTTAAAGGGTTAGTTCACCCAAAAATGAAGATTCTGTCATTAATTACTCACCCTCATGTCGTGTAAGACGTTCGTTCATCTTCAGAACACAAATTAAGATATTTTGGATGGAATCTGAGAAACACAACTGAAATGTTCTCAGGTCCAGAAACGTAGCAAGGAGATCTGTAAAATAATCCATGTGACATCAGTGGTTCATCCGCAATTATACGAAGCTACGAGAATACTTTTTGTGCGCATAAGAAAACAAAACAAAACCGACTTTATTCAACAATTCGTCTCCTCTGCATCACCCTGGTGCCATTTTGGAGAATATCCGCTGGACGTAAACAACGTATGCTGTTCTGTGTCAGCTGCATCAC